AGAAGATGTGGTGTGTATGTATATACAATAGAATATTACTCAGCCATAAAAGGAATGAAATCTTGCCATTTGCATTGACATGGTTGGAACTAGAGAGTATAATGCTAAGTGAAATAAGAGAGAAACAAATACCATATGATTTCACTCATATGTGGAATTTAAGAAACAAAACAAATGAGTGAAGGAAAAAAGAGACAGAGAGACAAACCAAGAAACAGACTCTTAACTATAGAGAACAAACTGATGGTTACAAGAGGGGAGATGGGTGAGGGGCTGGGTGAAACAGGTGATGGGGATTAAGGGGTGAACTTGCTGATGAGCACCTGGTATGATATGGAAGTGCTGAATCACTTGTACACCTGAAACTAATATAACACTGTATGTTAACTATACTGGAATTTTTTAAAAAGATTTTTAAATTTATTTGCGAAAGAGAGAGAAAGCATGAGCATGAGAGGGGTGGTGGGGGAGGAGCAGAGGGGGAGGGAGAGAGATAATCTCAAGCAGACTCCTGGCTGAGCTCAGAGCCTGAAGCGGGGCTTGATCTCACAGCCCTGAAGTCATGACCTGAGCCAAAATCAAGAGTCTGACACTCAACAAACTGAGCTACCCAGGCGCCCCTATGCTGGAATTAAAAAAAAAAAGTTGCAAAAAAAATTTTTTTTAAAGATTTTATTTATTTATTTGACAGAGAGAGACACAGCGAGAGAAGGAACAGAAGCAGGGGGAGTGGGAGAGGGAGAAGCAGGCTTCCCACGGAACAGGGAGCCCGATGGGGGGCTCGATCCCAGGACCCTGGGATCATGACCTGAGCCGAAGGCAGACGCTTAACTACTGAGCCACCCAGGTGCCCTTGATAACTTTAAACCTTAGCGCTATACTCAGTTAAATGATGGATATTCATTGAATATCTAGATCATTTCCAAGAAAGATAAAACATTGAAACGTTAATTGCCAAACATAAGTTTATCTACTTTTGGGATCTTGTTTTTATACGGGATAGAGAAGCTAAATATATTTGAGTCTGTTAATAAACATGAAAAATTATACTCTGAGAAAGATACACCTCTAGAAAATTATGAAATGATGTATTCATAAATTTGCTACAGAATGATAGTATGTGACAGTTCACAACTGTCAGATTCCTGGTTTTCACTGAAAACTAGGGTTACTAATGGTTAAAAATTCTAATCCATATTGTGTAAATGAATCTACTAGAAATAATAAAAGTAAAGAAAAAAGCAACTCTGTGCAAGGAAAATAAGATGTATTTTTGATAAGTGAAAGTATGAATTATGTGTTTTTGTTAAAGGAAAAAGAGAAATTTTCTTCTAAAGTAGAATGACTAATTGTTCCAGACTTCCAGACTTAGAAATAAGAAAGAGTAGGACAAAAACTGAATGAATAAAAAAAATTTTTTTAAGAAGATTTATGGAAAAGGAATCTTGGAAAAGGAATTCTTTTCGTGGGTGATCAAAGCTTGCCAAGATTGGATGGGTTTATTTACATGGGTTAAAAAGAAAAAAATTAGCCTTTATATTACTAACTAGTACACTGACACAAAATTAGAACTTGGTTTTCTCTCTCTGTTAAAGTTTTCCTAGGGATGCCTGGGTGTCTCAGTTGGTTAAACATCTGCCTTCGGCTCAGGTCATGATCCCAGGGTCCTGGGATTGAGTCCCGCATCGGGCTCCCTGCTCAGTGCAGAGCCTGCTTCTCCCCCTGCTTGCTGCCCCCCTGCTCATTCTCTCTCTCTCTCTCTCTCTCTCTGACACATAAATAAAATCTTAAAAAAAAAAAACAAAAAAAACAAAAGTTTTCTTAGATTATTGGTCTGCTCTTAATAAAACACTGTAAAAAGTTTCTTTCCTTACGTTTTAAGTAATCTGCCTGGGCAATCAGCATTTTGTGTCCTAAAATAATTTCCCATGCTTCACATTGTCTTTATCAGGTCTTTGATTACTTAAGAAAACCAAGTATTCTTAATATTAAAAAAGCTATGTTTTTTTTTACAACTATGTAATTTTCTGTATTTGTGAGATCTTTTAATTGTCACTTTGGTTAAATGGATAACTAAATATTGTTTCATAGTGACTTGTGAGCTTATGTAGTCAAATGTTCAAACTTTTTGACATTTTTTTAAATTATGTTCAGTTAGCCACTGTATAGTACATAATTAGTTCTTGATGTAGTGTTCAGTGATTCATTAGTTACGTATAACACCCAGTGCTCATCACAGCACTTGCCCTCCTTGACATTTTTGACGATTTTCCAAAATCCAATTCTAAATGGAGTCTTTTTTACTTCAAACTAACTTTGAGATTGTCCGGAGCACTCCTGGAAAATCTCAAAGGATTTCTGTCTCACTTTGTAAAAGAGAGATATTAAGCTAATTAGAAATATGTGATATGTTAAATTATGTGGGAAACATTGTTAAATAAGAAGTGATGATAAATCTTCTTAGGTTATATGTGTATGGATATATGTTACTAATATAGATATTCCAAAAATAGTGTGAAATTCTTAGAAATTTGCAGTATTACAGTTTTGTAAACAGCATTGAAACATTTATCTTTCTCTCTACTTGATCCCTCCAGAATGTGGAAACTCTTAGCATTCTTATTTTCATGGCAATATAGTTATTTTCATAAGTTCTATACGAATCTTTTCTTGTAATAAGACACAATTAGAAATATCAGTTATATTAACAAGATATTGACTGGAATATCATATTTGAGAATGATGTGCATCAAATCAGATATGACCTGACAGTTTTAAGGAACTAAGGTTGATTTTAAGGAGCCAGTGCTTATAAGCTCCTCCACCCCCTTAGAAAAGCTGACCTGTATCTGGCTTATAGCATTCCCCACCTTACAGGTGAGTAAGGAAGGTCACTTCTTGGCAGACCCAGGAATCTTAGGATATTTGGGGGATACTGAGAAGAGAGGAATTCACCCAAATCAGTAGGTAATGCAGGCAAAATATGGTAGTGAATTCTTGGTTTGGCTCCTAGCCTTGAGAGGCTTTTAAAAGTCCAATCTAGAATTTCTAATGAAAAGTTCCAGCACAGCAAACTCAAATATGGGCCTATGCAAGCTCTTGGTTGCACTTACATAAATGATTAGGCCAAGAGTAATGATCAGACTTACTTCACAAACAAATTAGTCTTCCTTTGATTATCATTGAAATGGAGAAATGGGAGTGACTATAGAAAGAATTTGGTTTTTTTTATTTCAGTGGAAAACTATAGTGCACCCTTATGGGCTCTGTCTTGCACATTTTGCCAATCCTTGCTAAGTCCTGAATTCTTTTAGTTTGCTCTACTATCTGGTTACAACTCTCCAAATTAAAGTTTCTAATTTTTTCTCTCTTCTGGTTTGGAATTAAGACTGCCCTTTTCTGGAATTAAAATAAAACCTAAAATAAAGAAAAAAAAATTGCCCTTTTCCTGAAGTGTCCTATAAGCTGAAGCTGGATGACCACAGATTATGTCTGGGCAACCTTCATGCCTTCTGCTATGTGCACCATTCAGAAAGTTCACTGGAGCACCTGATGGCATCACCAGAGACATTCAAACTCCAAACCAGGAAAACTAATCAGATGGGCACTGCCAGCCTCACTCCACCTTCTAAAGATGCTTCAAGCTCAAGCCTAAAAATCTTGGCTGGCTGCCCCTCTGGACTCAGAAACTGGGTTTCTAACAATCTTTGCTTTTCTTCAGTTTCATAGAAACTTCCTCATTAAATGCCTGATTGCTAGCACCATCCAGCAAAGTGTCATAAAATGTGTGTGTGTGTGTGTGTGTGTGTGTGTGTGTATTTTAACACCACCTATCCAAACCTCTGAACAAATCTCAAGGGCTTGTAGCCATGACCTGTGCTGTTAGGAAGAAAATCGATCAGAGAAAAGCATTCACTTGCCTTAATAGTTTATTCTTCTGAGCGTAAAAGAGCACTTCAAGGGGAAAACACTCTTAACCCAAAGCATGCCTTAATAATGGTGGGATTTAGACATCAGAGGGCAGAGGTGTTTAGGGACCGGTGAGCCTTCCTGGTGACACTTAGGTCAGATCTCTTCTGTTTTCCCACCACGATGGCTTCCTTTCAACACAAAGTCTTTGCGTCTGCTATTCCCTTGGCCAAGACTTTGCCTCTCATTCCTATTGCTTTGTCTGTTAACGTCTACTCATCCTTTAGATCTCAGTGGAAGCAGTGCTTTCTCAGGGAAGCCCTCACTGACCTCTCTAAGTCAGATTTTCTTAACTTCTTAAAAGACTGTGACCATTCCTTCTTAGCACTTGTCACAGCTTCAGTTTTTCATATACATATGCAGTTATTTGATTGTTGACCACTGGATACCAAGTTTCAAGAGGGCATAAGTGATGCCTGCTCTTGGGCACTTGTATCTGTAGCACACGGCACCTTACCTGGTATGTGGTGGGCCCACCCTAAATAGTTGTTGAATGAGTGGACTAGGGACTTTCAATGACTTTAGGCATTTCCCTTTCTACTGCCTCCACCCCCATGCCATACTAGAGGCCAAGGATATCCTTCTACTAAAGCCCATAGATGTAAAATATAGTAAAGCAAAAGACATTAAATAGCCTCTCCTTTCATATTGTTTCAACATATTCCTTTTTCAATGTTCTAGATCAACACAGTGTCAGTGTGTCATGCACATGCATGTGCCTCCATGGCATGGAGTTTTACCAAGCTGATCATAACATTCCTTGGGATTCACTTGGGAATAATGCAAAATAAACATACTGTGACCAATCTTGTAGGACGGAACTTGCTGTATGAGGCCCATAGCATTAGGACAGGGTCCTCCTCAGAAATTAATTAGCATGGCTTGGACCATTGAACTAGGACTCCCTACCTCCTCAAGTAAAGATTAGTTTGGACTGGTTCTGTTTTTGCATTGGAAAAAGAGTTTTCCAGCTTTTGCAGATAAGATCTTGGCCACTTAAAAGGCTTTTACCTTTTTTCTCTACCCTGCAGGCCATGATGGTCACATATGGTCATTGCTGGGTCCACCCCACCCTGGGAGGTCTTTCTAAAAGCTGAAAGACAACACTCTGGCCTCAGACCAAATGTGGAGTGGAAATGGCCTGGCTTCTTGGCAGCTTCTCTGTCCCACTGACAGCAGCCCAGCTTGTGGAGGCATCTGGTATCAAGAATATCCGGAGCTTGGGTCCTGGGAAAATTTTTCTCTGTGGCTTTTGTGGAAAAAAAAAAAAAAGCTTTAAGGACTCTGTGTGTGTGTGTGTGTTGCATATTATATGTCAAATATTTTCAAAAACCGTAGAACTAACTAAAATAGATTTCATTCTAGAAACATTATCTGTCATTTATGATGGAGACTTTTTATAGCTCTTAAGGTTGAGATTACATTACATCAAGTTTTTTATAACAGTGGTTATTTTGGAAGCCTGAGGGTGGGAAAGCCGATTATAATTTAAATTGTGTGGTAGACATTTTCCATGTGCTTTAATATGAAGATTTAGGAGTCAGGATTTGGGATCTTCAGTCCAGATAAATTGCACTCTTCATCCAAGGAGTATGCAAAAGAAGAGAACAGTGATAATAACAGTAATTAAGTGTGTGGACTTAGGTGTGGGTCAAAATCTCAGGTTATTAGCTATATGGCTTCCACACAATTACTTCTATGAGCCCGTCTCCAAACTGAGAAGGGTAATTTCTACTTTGCAGAGTTGTAAGGACTATTTGCTATGATATATGTAAAGTCCTTAGCATGCGTTAAGTGTCCAATAAATGATGAATTTTATTATAATTATTAGTCCTACAATATGCCCAAACCAAAATGGACACTTGTGGGCAGCAATCTTAGGGTGATGAGAGGAAACCAGATTGTAGTTTCTAGGTGATAAGAAAGGTTCAGATCTTGCAGAAGGAGAGGGAGAAGCGTTCTGTCTCTCCTCAACAACATGTGGGGTAGATAAGGTTAGCCTAGTTCTTAGATAAGGAAACTGAGGCCCAGGGAAGTTAAATGACTAGCTCAAAGTTGCACAGCTAATAAGTGACAGAATTGCAGAACCATGACCTAAATTCAGGCCTAATTACCGATTCAGGGGTTCTTTCTATTATACCATAGCAGTAAAAGTTCAACCAGTATTAATATCAGAAGTTAAAAAGTAAGTATTCTACTCACATAATACAGTTTGGTGCTATCTTTTGTTAGCCTGGCATAGCAGTTTGAAACTTTCAGGGGATCTCTTTCACTTGTTCCCCACGACCCCCCGGAAAACATGTATTCTTTAGATGAGAAGATACAGAGGTTTAGGGGCTTATAGAGATTGTCCAAATTCACTGGGCCAAGTTGAGGGTTAGGGCTGGTGATCGTGCAAACCAGGCCTACCCCCACAGAGAGCCCCTCTGGACCTCGTGGGGCCTGCCAGTACAGGGCCAGGCCCCCACTAAACTCTCAGTGAGTGTGAATTGAACAATCATAGCTAACAGGCCACAGTTACATGCATTTTCTCATTTAACCCTCAGTACAACCCACCGGGATCTAGAGACTCACAGCTGGGGAGTGTTCTCCCTGTGTCTAATGTCCATGCTCAACACTGCACATCCTCTTTTTTTGATTAATCAGGTCAGGCTTGCTGACTCTTAATGTGGTGCCCTTTCTGGTACTAACTGGTTTCAGTGTGGGCGAATAAAAACCAAGATTCCAAATCAAGCACAAAACAAACCAACAGACCGATAGATCCCTGGAAACCATCAAGAGGCAAGAACAGAAATGGTTAGCTCTTGCACATTCTCCTCCTTGCAACTGTAGTCACTATATAGCATGTTCTCCCTAGGAGGCCCCATCCTTAGCCTGGAAATGAAAATAGAGCATTCCATGTAGGCCACTGGATGTGTGACCTGAAGAAACTCAATGATCTCACATTAATTTGTGTTAAGGAAGGACAATGCTTTTTAAAAGTAGTATGCATTTGATCCCTGATGGCAAATAAGCACCTCAGAGCCAGCTTAGATTCTTCCTCTCATATCTGTGGCTCTCTCCCTTTCCCCTGTGGTACAGCTATTGGCCACAAATTCTTTGTCCTGCATCAAAGGCCTTTCAAGCTCCCACCCTGAACCATCAAAGATTCCTTAACTTCCCTTTTTCCTCTGTAAACATCACTTTATTACTCTGTCTCCTGTACATACACTGAACCTCTTGACAACAGTTTGATTCAGGGAAAAGCTGGGATCTTAAATATTTCAGAGATGCAATGGGTGATGAAAGCATGAATGTGTAGCTACTGAATTGACCCTTGGAGCAAAAAAGGGGAAAAAAAAGTTTGATCTCAGAATTATAAGAATTTTTCTTTACCCTTTTTCTTCTTTTTTCTCCTACTATTTCCCAACCGCCCCTCTCACTGCCTGGCTCCCACCGGCACCCGCCCTGGGCCCGGCTGGGCAGTGGGGGGCTCCCAACCTTCCCTTTCACCATCAGAAGGGAGGGCATAAGAATTTTTTCATTGCACCATGTACCTACCAGGAAGGCAGCACATCAGCTGACCATATTGCCACAGAAGTATTTCTTCCCAAAGAGGAAGGAGCTTAAGGACTAGAAGGGTTACAAGTAGGAACAGACAGAGCAGGCAGGCAAAAGTGGCAAAACATTGAACTGAAATGCATTGAGAGAATCTCTGTATCTGAGAAGTGAATGGCAGGGTCGGGGATGGACAAGGAGAGGACCTGTCTTCCTCTTGGCCACAGACTGGACCACAGACTATTCTTTTCCTTCTCCGTGAATAGTTAAGGGGAAAAAGAGCAACCACTGGCCTGGCTATTGACAAGCAAATGAGATATGCTGGCTCTAATCCAAGTTCTCTCCTAGCAAGGCAGTTAAATGGTGCCTTCTGGTTCTCTTAACTTCTCAGAGCCTCTAACCACTGGACAGCATAGTCCCTCTAGCCCTTGAAAGTGATCTCAAGCTTCAGTGCTCTATAGAAGGTAGCATGGTGCAAAGCAGGGCTTCCCCAACCTTAGTCTGCATCACAATCATCTGGAGGCCTTCCTACAGCAGAGATTGTTGGGCCCCACAGCAGAGTTTCAGATTCATTGGGTCTGGGGTGGGGCCCAAGAGCTTACATTTCTACAAATTCTCAACTATCACTGATGTGCTGGTCTGGGGACCATGCTTTAGGAACTGTTGGTTTAGAGGGAAAAGAAGGACTTGTAGGAGGACAGGGATTCTGGTCCCAGTTCTGCCACTCCTGTGTGTTTTTGAGTGAGACACTTAACTTCTTTGAGCTTTGGTTTTCTCATCTAGTAGGGCAGATATGGAGGATAATGGTAGTGTGGTCAGATATACGGACTGTGTTCAACTCTGGCCCTGCCACTGTCCACCTGTGTGATCTTAGACAAACTGCTTCACCTTTGAATCCCTCAGTTCCTTCACCTAGAAAGTGGGGGCAATAATTGTCTATCACCTGGGGTTGCTATGAACACTGTTACTGAAAATAAGTAAAACAGTCACGGCAGCTTTGTGCTATAAATGTGATATAAACAGGCACTCATAATTTTTTGTGGTTCTGTCACTTACATGAGATGAAGAATGTAAAGGGCCAAATGTCATGACAGGCACATAGAAAATGCACAGTGTCAATTTCCCCTCCTCAACCCAAAACAGGGAAGTCAGAGCGGGAGGTGCTGACTGAAAGAATGTCCTTTCAGTGGAGATCTCAGTCGAAGGCACAGCAAAATAAAGATACCAGCATGAGGATTTTAGCTGTTAGTGAAGCAGTGTATGCCAGATGCCTCCTCCCTTTAAGGAGTCTATGCCAGGGAAGGCTTCCTTTGAGCAAGGATCAGCAACTTGGAAGATTTAGCCAGTTGATGTCTGGCACTCGTAAGTGTGGGCAAACCTTGAGGAACTCCCAGCAGGATGTTGCACAGCTAGCATTCCGTTTCACGGGGAGGGCTGGAACCACCTAAGTATGGCTCAGGACACAGAGACCTCAGGCTGGTGGGACTCAGGCTGATCCATTTCCTTCATCGTCTTCATTATACAGCTCAAGGCAGTCCTGAAATCATCCTGGAGCTGATGCTGAGCTCTAAGACAGCTGTAGTCATTTATTTTACTTTTTGTCCATATTGTCTTGTCATGGTCTGTGGATAAAAGACAGGGTGAAAGGTTAGATAAAATTGTCCATCATCCCTATGGTATCCAGTGAGAATTTAGTGAGCTGCTTTAAGGATAAAGCATTCAAATATGTTTTGGCTGTATATTAATAATTCCCTCTTGGATGTTTTTGATACTGAGTAGTATACTAAAGGCCCTGAGAAGTCCTGCAGTAAAGAAATAATGGGTTTTATCCATAACTCAGCAGTTCTCAAATTGTTTAGCCACGGAAACATTTTTCTTTTAAACAAAAGTAGTATCTCTTAACATCTCTCAGAACATAACTGTGGCAAATGCTTGGATAGGCAGAAATGTTAAAGTCCAGATATGGAACTATTTAAACACTGGGGGCTACTGATCCCTAGAGGGAAAATAGGTTAAAGGCCATACGTCAGTGTCCAACCATTTTAGTTTATTGCTAGACCCATACTAAGCTCTTGTCAAGTGCTGGCTCTCCAAATATCACTGACACAATCTGTTAACGTGACAAAACCATGTTTCTTGCAGTAAGAAAGATGACCACCTAGACAGAGTTTGGGTAATGTCTCCTAGGGGAAAAAGCAAGGCTAGATTTTATTACAAATTGAAAGTTTGGTTTAAAGTTGTCTTCCAATGAGGGGGCTTGGTTGGGTAAGGATAATGATACAACAATTTAGGATTATAAACGACATGACAAGGATTTTGAGTTGAGGGATTTGAGGATCTTTAGGGTGTTAACTATTTCTTGATGCTTCTTAGGAAGAAGTGAATGGTCTTTTTGGGAGGTTCCTGTAATGAACAATTAAGTTATCTGCCTGGACAAAAATCTCCTGGATTTTAAAGGCATGATAATGAAAACAATGGAGTAACAGAATTAAAATTTCTGTTAATGTTTTGTAGAAAGTAAGGGGTGTGTGGGGCGCCTGGGTGGTTTAGTTGGTTAAGCATCCAACTCTTGATTTCAACTCAGGTCATGATCTCAGTGTTGTGAGATTAAGCCCCGTGTCAAGCTCTGCGCTGGGTGTGGAGCCTTGGAACCTCCTTAAGATTTTCTCTCTCTCCCTCTCCCTCTGTCTCTCCGCCTCTCCGCCTCTCTTAAAAAAAAAAAAAAAAAAGGTAAGGT